GGAACTATTGACTAAAAAAGATTCCAAGAACATTTGCAGCTAATGTCTTGATATCATCCGTATCACCCTGCAGCTGGACAAAGTGGTACAGATGCTACAGCACTGGGAAACCTAGACAGATGTAGATTTCTGAAAAATAAAACCTGTACAGACAACATTTAAAATAAATCTATAGGATTTAGCTTAAATAAAAGAAACTTAATTTCCTTTCCATAGAGTTGAGCAGGGACCTTTTTTCCATATCATCCAGTACTATAGGGTAGGATACTTGACTTAATTAAAAGAACTAAACAAAATATGTGACAAAGGAACAATATGACTATGGAATCTAGAGTGTCTGAGAGGAAACGTTATTGTGGTCAGAAAAGGTGCCAGAAGCTGCTTTGCATTACCCTACCAATGGCATTAGGTCTTGTTTCTGACTAAGGACTATTTGTCCCAGAAGGAAAACAGTCTTCCTTTTCAGACAGGCTCTGAGTTTAACTTGGACATAGCAAGAGCAGAAGGGAGCTTTTAATTGATTGGTAGTGGTTTTAAAACGGGCTCAGTCATGGGTACCGCGCCCCGTAGGTTTGAGTATTAAAGATATACAAGTTATAACAAAAGTTTATCATCTACAGATCACCAATCTAATGTAATGAACTTGCATATATCTTGGAGCGGGCACTCTATTTGGTTACACATCTACAGCCAAAGGAATTCCTGATAGCACTCCAGTAGAATAACAGCAGGGATCACTTTGGCCCCTTGTGCTCAAAATGTCCAATTCCTGTCTGAGAGTTGTGTTGCTACCTGTACGGTGCACAGAAGAGCACCAAGTTTGTCTTTTATAAGTGTTTATAAGTCTTGACCAGGCTAGGTGCTGAACATCCTCCGTTCCCATTGTCTTTAGTTAGCATTGAAGGCACACCACACTCCAGATCAGCCCCTAGGCCCAAGTACAGAAATAATTAATTGTCACAACCATAAGAGACTCAGCTTGAAGACTGTGGACCAAGTTCTCTGCTGCATCCAAATAGTACTGGATGCAGCAGTGAGATGGGGCTGTCAAGAAGTCAGTTATAGTTCTCCAAGTCCCTGGTCATGCTCCCTAGACACAGGATAGAGCAGCCTGGGGGATGCAGTAAACGCCATCAGTTGGTGGGTGTGGTGGGGTCTTGTAGTGACCAGCTGGCTATTGCCAAAGCTCATCGCACTCCGGCCACTCCCCCTGCCCTGCTCCAACACGTCCCGGGCTTCAGGAAAGGAGTTGTAGTAGCAGATTTTGCTGACTCGTCTCCTATTGGAGACTCTTCCCCAAGGGTACCTCAGAAGGGAGCTTGAGGGAGGTTTCTTTCTCTTTTCACCCTATGGATGAAATCCTGGCCCTATTGAAGTCAGTGGGAGATCACCATACCAGATATCGGGGGGTGGGGAGAGGGTGTGTGTGTGGTTTAAAAAAAAAAAAGCCATTGCTGTTTGGAAATATTTTTAAATATTCTGTGTATCAGGACACACAAAAGCAGGGAAACAATAGGTTTGCCATAAATGATTGTTTGATGTTCTATTTTATGATGTAATGTGTTTCTGCTGTAATAATGCAAATATACGTTAGACACTTAGCTTAATTTGTAAATGTTCTAATAAAATTACTGCAAAATGTGAGTAGGACATGACATATTCTTGACAGCATTGAGGCTGAAAGATTTATGGAACTGTGGCGGCTAATTTTACTCATGAAAAGGACAAGGTTGGAAAGTTGGCTTGTTTATTCACTAAATAGTCTCCTGTGCCTCTTCCAATATAAACCATGGGAATGTGGAACTCAGACCAATATTGACAGTATCTCATTGAAACATTATAGTGATAACTTTATCAGTGGTATGTGACACAAGATGGCACCAGACCATAACGTCCTGTCTTCATATAGGTCTACAAACATTTTAGATAAACTGTTTGCTTACTTTTAAAGATCTCTGAAATGCTGTTAGCACATGTATTTGTTTTACTGAATCTAACAACTATACTTTTCAAATTATTTTAATTCATGGGGTGCCAAGAACAAAAAAAAAATTACAAAATCACATTTAATGTTAGTGACTCTTTAAATAGAATTTTTCATTCAAACTTTGTCATTAAAATAGAAAGACCTTTTGGTTGTGACCATACAAGCATAATAAATTGTGTATGTTTGTGATACTGAATGAATCTTGCCCATATGCTGCACTGCAAGGCTACATGAATGAAGCATTTACCAAATCAGGCCCACCACATTAAACAGAAAAACAATCTTTATTCATGGTAACTTATCAGTTTCAATTAATCAACCTTAACAATAGAAATTCTGATGTGTTCAAGCAACTTGAAAGCAATAGGTCATCTCCAGGGCAGCCATGTTGTGTCTTTGTGCCTATGGCTTCACACAAAGCAACATCTCCAATAAATGTACATATACAAATTCATATGTGTGCATATATACATATAAGCACCTAGCCACGCCAAGGCCTATAACCTACAAGTCTGCATGTATGTACAGTACTGTTTACCTTTTTGTCCTACAAAATGTAATTGTTTTCTAGTATTTTTAAGCTCTGTAAGTTTAAACAAAGGAAAAGAAATTTCCATTGGATGACCATCCTTTCAGTTTCTCTGCTGCTATGTGAATGGCATTGTGAAAACCTTTCCAATGGTATTGAAAAGGGGTAACCATTGGTTTGATTTGGTTACACGGTTTCGTAAAGAGCTCCCTCCCACTGCCTTAGGGTCTGTGAAAGGTCTGTGACCTGTTTAGAACTGCCAAGTGAAATGTCATGTCGCCCCTCCCAAATGGGAGTATCTGCATTCATTTGATCAGTATAAAAAATGATTGGGGATGGCGAGATCAGTGCTTTTGAATTGCAATTTATACCAGTTTACAAAAATGCACATTGTTGGAAAAGAAAACATGGAAGTGTTTCTTTCTAAATTGCATTACCTGTGAAATGTCATTAGTCTTTTTAGGATATTTACATCCTATTTTTTACTATCTAAAAGAGGCTTAAAATGAAGAAATTCTGTATTGGATTGTGATATTAATGAATATTGTCCTAGTTATTGTCTTGTGTTCAGGTTTGGTATCAAATATTTGGGGGACGATCTTTCCCGATTCTTTTTCAAATTCTGTTTATAGTTTTGGAGCCACTGTCACAACTACCGTTTGAGGATCTTGGGTGATGCATAAATTTTCCTCACTTTGGAAAATACTATCGTTGTGTCATTGCACTAGAGAGTTTATGTAAAGTTCAACATAAGAACATTCTTCCTTTTCGTGTTAGGTGTGTTGCCCTTTGATTGCTTGTCCATAGATGTATTCATTACGTACTTAATTCGTTTCCATTTAACTAGCTACTTCCCCCGGCGCACACCACAATCTACCTCCCAAAAGTAACACAAGATGGGATGTACATATTTTAAATGTATAATATTGAGTGTATGGTCTGTAGCTTTCTGTTTACACTGAAGTTCTATCTAGTAGATCTCCAGCGCACAAAGGGAAGGTATAAAGTCTCTGTGCGGCACTGGTGGTTCCCGGAAAAGGCGTACACCCTCTCTTCTCTGAAAAAATCGACACCTGAATCTTCTGTGTACCTAGCGTCTTCTAGTGATGCCAAGGCTGAGCGGCTGGGGTTATTCGGGAGTGTTGTGTTGGCGGTTGTGCAGAAAGCGCGGAAAGCAGGTCCTTTTGTGTTAGCCAGTGGCTTTCAGGAGGACGTTAGTCTGGCAGAAATCACTCCCTTCCCCAAAGAGTTGGAAATGTGCTGCTCTCATCAGATGAAAAGGGACGTTTGATACCTTTTGGGTTTCCTAGACAGGGTTCTGTGGGTGACCGTTGAGTTTCTTCAACTTTCAGAAAACAAAGCGTTCGTAATGGGATAAATGGCAGCATTTCTTTAATTCATAATAAGCTCTTACTTGATGAGATGGCATAGGCGTTTCTTTTCCTTTACACGTGATCAACAGTGTTGAATTTCAAATAGCAATTTTGCACAGAAATTGTATTGCAGCACATTTGCATGTAGGTTAGCATCTGAACTGAGAGTGCCCGCTCTTTAGTCGGTAGTGCTGAGTAGGAGACCCAGATATACGGTATTCTGTACCCCCCGCACCCCCATCCCCACTTTGGATCGCTCCGAATGGAAATCTGCCTCCGGCATCAACGCCTGGGCCCAGAAAATCACTGCTCGGCGTGATGGCTAAGCACTTCTCCTTCTAGACCCACAATTCAGAAGTGAGCAATGTCTACATAATAACCCCCCCCCCCAGTGCTGACCCCCATCCAACAGTAGCTGCTCTTTAAAAATAGAAAATCATGATGTACTCATTAGAAATGGGAGAAGTAGAGCAAATCAGCATTAAATGTAGAATAAAATGAACCTAAATCCGAAAAACAATAGGAAAAGCAAAAGCTGTTTTGTTTTACAAGTTCACCTGCTCTCTATAGGCTATTGTAGAAAGGCTGGCAGATTGCTAAGGGCTCAAGGCTACTACTACGTGGTAAACCAAAGAGAGACTTGGATCATAACGATGACCCAAACTAGTCAAAACTAGTGGAGAGAACGAATGGCAAAGTTAAAGCTGAGCTTCAGGTTTGTAGTGAATAGGGGGCACTGGTGGCTGTATTGCACATTTAACTGCGTTGCTGTATGAGATAGTACAAGTGTCCAGCATAACTTGGAGGCAGAGCAGGCTGTATGGGTGTGCAGGCAGAAGGCTCGGTTATGCTGTCACTTTCACTGTCTTTCAGGCTATATGCTTTACACTGCTGTTCACAGGAAACCCCAAACTCCTGGTGTCACCTAGTGTGTATCAGGGGAACGCACAAAACAAACTCTCAAACACATTCATTCTGTTTAGGAAGTGATCTGAAATAATGCAACAAGTCGAGCAAGGTTGAGCCTCAGCATGGGTAACTTTGTTCTGACATGTTTCCTGCATGATTTGTGCCCTGATGGTTCATGTCTTCTATATCTTTTCTCTTTTAGTTTCTGGGGATGAAGAATTTGTTGGGGGTCCTCCTTTTCCTTCACCTCCGTCCACGTTAACTTGACGGTAGGAGCAGTGCCTTCTGTGGTAGAGAAAGAGAGCAGGATTGTGAGGAAATAAATGCCCAGAGGTCTTCCTCTGGTCCCGGAAATGTTTCTGCGTGTTGCCTCCTTAGGAAGCTGTGAATACTTTGATTCTCTAAAGTAACGTAGTGTATATTTGAAGTTAATGACAGGAATTTACAGACGCAACTCTCCCACCTGCACGCTTTCCTTTCTTGAAGTTCTGGGTGATTATCAGAATGGGGATATGAACGTGTACCCGATGAAATGTCCATCTTGGTTCCATATTAGTTCCATGCATGGCCTGATTCGTAGTTCTACTTTTTCTTTAAGAGCAAAGTTTTGAGTAAAGAGTGAACTTCAATCAAATATACCACCAGCCTTGTCTAGAAACCCTTAAATTACACCACGTGAATGTTAAGTACCTTGCTTTAACTGATAGTTTGATTTAGAGCTTGTCCTTAGGCTGAGCAAGCATGAACGGTTGGAAGTACAAGGCTTTGATTGCTAGCTTTTGAACCATAAACGGAGCCCGATCTTGAAGCCTGTTATTACGTCAGTAGCTCCACTGACTTTAATAAAACTTACAGAGAGAAGAAAGACTGCATGATTTGACCCTTCGATTCTGCCTAGACCAGTAGCATGAGTGAGTTTAGTGGCATTGATGTTTTATGGGCTATTGAGTCATATTTTTTTTCTTATTCATTGACATCTCTATTTTCAACGCTATCCAAAAGAGACTTAAATTATACAAATTTAAACATTTCCATAGTTACCATGAACTGGTAGTTTGGGAAATTACAAGTTATCAGCCAATAGTTCAAGCATATTTGTGTGTGTATCATAGATGTGTATTTAAGGTGTTTGTATAAATATCTGATATTGTGTTGTAAAATACTGACCAATAAATGTAAAAGCGCTAATTTCCTAAAGTGTTGCTTGATCGATTGTGAAAAGCTATTCGTCATACATTTCTTTTGACGACTCCCAAAGCAAACTAAGAAATGCTTGCTAGTGTCATTAATAATTGACTGCGTTCAGTACACAATTTTCATTTCTGTTTATCTGTTTTGCCGTTTGATTCAACTTCTCCTACAGGAACAACGTTACGATGTTCATCATTTATGCTGGGCAAAACTTTGATAATACTTCGCAAAACTAGTTATTCATTAAGTCCCAGGAAATATGTTCCTTTTCGGTGTCCTGTAGAGCTTGAAATGTTTAACCCTGGGTGGATAATTGAGTAGATGAGTAAAAGACTTAAAAGGTTTAATTGGGAAACCCAGCCTTATTTCCATCTCATGGCCATATAGTGGCACACTGCAGTCCACCATTATTCGAGCTTCATCTACTATACACTATATACCACCGTCTCCAAAGGATTGTTGCCCTAGAAACGTGTTTTAAATCTTCTGCTATATATCAACACCTTGTTTTAGCAGTCCTTGGCTGAATTACAGTTACACAGTTTGGCGCTTCTTTCAAATTTCCTCCCATCACATTGGCCAAAGAAAGGAATTTTTCTCCTTTAGAAATGAATTGGCTTAATTAGTAAGTAGATTAATGGCAATTGCTGGTGAGTTGGTTTCCAGCAGAGTTTCACCAGAGAGGGTTAATCGGAGTCAGGTCTGGAATCTTTCCCAGAACTGGCTGCCAGCCATTTCCGTCAACCAATCAACCCCATAAACAAATGCCCTACCAAGTGAAATCGGGTTTATATTCTTACTGTCATCCTGCTGGAATAATTTCCTCAAACAGCGACAACTTCGCAGCGTGGTTGAAACTGATAGCTCTGAATTTGGGTTTAATACCCAGATATTAAGAATACTTTAAATGTTCCATGTGATGCAAGAATGTACTTGTTGGTCAAATCAGAATTCAGGACATATGAAAACTGGCTCCAACAATAAAGGATCCTTATCAGTAACAATATGTTTTAAACTGATCATAATGTGAGACAATAGCAATAACTTAAGATCTAGAATATTGCAGAACACTCCCAAAATCCATTGCCACAAAATATGGTAGGAACAAGGAAAACCTTAAACACAGAGCTGCACATTTTGCAGTCTTTTCACTTATCTTTCCATACTGATAAAAATGCATTCATAGTTTAACACGCAGCTGCATTAGGCTTGCAAAAAAAAAATCCCTGCTGAGAAATGCATATAATAGGAAAAACAGATCGGCTGGACAGCAATGTAATTAATGCCAGAAAGGGCTGAGGCCGGTTTCATAGTTTGTCTTTTGAGTATATCAAGACGAGACCTGGTGAAAAATGACGCATGCTTTAGCATTTCAGAAAGCTGGCAACTGGCAGAGCCCCCCTCCTCCCCTTTTAACTTTATGCTGCTGAACAAAGGGGTCGGCAGAACTAGCTAGGTTGTAATGAGTTCTATGTCCCTAGCACATTAAGTGCATCATGGAAACATATTGTATCGAAATAGTTTGGAGGAGAATACTGGGGATGAAAGAGAATGGGTGCTTTGATCAGCTCCCTGGGGTCCTGAGTGCGCACAGACCGACTTGCAAGGAGTTATTCAGCTCCAGCTAGACACACTTACAACACCATTCAAAGAAATTTGCATATCTGTAATTTATCACATTTGTCCCGAACATTTTTGCAAGGTAAATAAAAGTTGTCTGAATAAAAAATATCAATCATCGGGGGGGGGGGGGGAGGGAAGAGGAAACTGTTTAAGGCAGACCTCAAACGTCTGCTCCATGCGAAATAAAACTTTTATCCGTAACATTCACAAGTTTATTTCAATGAGCCCCTCCGACAGCAGGTTAAATGCTAATAAGACGATTGGCAACAGCTTCCGTCAAAGAGCTAACCAGCAAAGCGGATGGCTTCTCCTTGTCGGAGAAGTACAACTCCCCAAACTTACTTCAGGACCCAGGAAAACAGATTTTTGGCTGTTATTGTGCAGAGACAGGCTCACACCTTGTAGAGGGCAACGAAACGCTACATTCTCTGAGGCCACATACAGACCATGCAATGCCTTCCCCCTCTTCACAGCCTTGCTGATTTCGGTATTTCTTGTTACACTAACAAACCTTGTTTGCAAAAACTCGCTAAAACAGGCGGATTAAAGGTCTGTGCAATAGGAAAAGCCCCTTTCCAATGCCCCACTCGCTCAAGAGGAAAGGGAACAGGCAGGCATTGTTCGGCGTTTTAACAAACTCCAGTTAAACAGCAAACAAGAATCTTCAACTTGACCTTGGGAAGGGGCTCTGTGCTCTAGATAATCTATCACCCCACCCCGGTGACAATGATGTATTTCCAAGTATTGCCCGGTGAAAAGATTGATAAATTCGCGGCTGCACAGCCCGGGCGCTTTGGAACCAGGCATGCGCCTCCTCAGCCCCAAGCCTGCGGGGAGAGCGCCCCAGGAGCCAGCCACGGAAATCAGCACCGTCATATTTCTTTTAGGGGCACGGAAAAGCTGTGCACAGCCCTTCTCATATTAAACGCAATATTTCTTTGCTTTGGCGGGGGAACAAAAGTCATAGCAAGGCGTCTTTGTGGCTAATTCAGTCAAAGGCACATCCCTGGTTCCCCTGCAGAAAGGTCAGTGTCGTTGTGTATGGTCCACCCGAGGGGGTGTTTTCACAGCGCACACGGAGCCAGCTGTCCCTGTCAGACCCTCGCCACTGGGGAGCACACACGGCGTGGCTGCTAGACACGCCCTACACCTGCGCGGGCTCCACGCCTCGCCAACGCTTCTGCTGCTTCTTTTCCCAAACTTTGCCCGCCCAGTGCAAGCCCTCGCTGGCAGCACCGGGAGCAGGGCAAACGCTGGGAAGGGGGAAGCTTTGCAACTCCTTGCGGGTGCCTACCGGGCGCCTATCGAAGGGGCTTCCAGTCTGCGTGTTACATGTTTGAGAAACTTCCTAGGAATTGCACGAAACTTTAATACGGTTGTGTTAACTGAAGGACCCCTTGTTTAACCCAGAGATTTCCTTGTAAGCTGAGGCACCGCACGGGGGCCGTAGCCCACCACAGTTCATGTATAAGTGGCTCGTGTTGTTTTTAGTTTTATTTGCACTGCACAGAGGCAGGGAGCAGTTCCGCAAGAGCAAACTTGTCCCATCTCTTCCATTGCCAGCATTTTAAAACGCAAAACTCCCTGCCGCCCATCTAATTTTTCAGGCCGGGTTTGACTCCCGCCCCGGCTAGCCGGGGAGCCCCAAGCTATCGCTTTAGTTGGGACGGGAACCTCATGAGCGGAACAATTCAGGTTGCATTTCCAAGTGGACTCCTCGTTCTGTGCGCGTAGACCGGGGTGTGGGTTGGGTGGCTAGAGCTGCAGGTCTGCAAAGTCATTTCACTGGGATACGTTTTAGGGGCTGTTTTGTGGTTCACATCATGGCTCAGCCCCTGCTCCTGCAGGAGACACACGCATTGCTCCGCTCCAGAGTGCGTGGGTACCACATACCACAGGTGTCGCGTTATTGCTTACGATAGGACGGGACCCTCCGGATTTATTCTTCTGGGGGGGGGCGGGGGGAGCAGTGCGCGGGCGGCATGGCTGAGTGAGCCCGGCTCTCGGGATACAGGCGAGGAGAGCCAGCCGGGGGAGCACTTAGCGCCGAAGTTCCTCTAATTCTTGTAGCTCTGCTGTCGCCTAAGGTAAAGAAGACGGAACAAATCGCTCTCCCCGAGAAGGGCTGTTCGCTTTGTGCTCCCAGCTCCCGGGCTGGCGATGGCACGTCCTGCCCTGCCCCAGGGGAGGCTTTGGCAGTGAACGCGCCTCTCTCTCGCCCTCCAAGCCGCTCCGTGCAACAGGTTGCCCGGAGCAGGTGCACTGGCGGGGAAGGGGGATGAGTTGGCGCTGAAGGCAAAGGCCCAGCCGCCCTGGGGAGCCGGCCCGCGGTGCTGATGCTGTGCAGGGGGCAGGCCCGCCACGCCGGCGCCCCAAGGCTCACAGCGCCGCTGGCCAAGCAGCCCGAGCGCCTCTGGCCGGGGAGCTGTGCCGCTGGCATCACGGCCTCCAGCGAGCTCTGCCGCCGCCGCC